TTTACCATTATATCTATATTACTGGGTAAAAAGAAAGTATTTGTTATGGTTATATGGAGTTTAACATCGGAGCCCAAATATCTATAATAGCTCTCTATTTTCTTGTTCTGTGATTAAATTATTTCATTATTACATAAATCCAGAATGAATTTCCCTATGCAAGTTTATACTCTCTAATTCATAAATCAGTGAGGTAGGCTGTAAAGTTAGACTGTTTTGAGTTGTTTGGCAATTAAATGTGCCTATTTCCATTATAAAAGTCTTTCTTATTCCATAATGAAATCATAAACTTAATCTGGTAGACCAAAATCTGCATTTAGGTCTTTATTTTTTAAGCACTGATTTTGAGAGTTTGGAATGTTTACATTTAAATATGGCTGAATATATTTAAAGTGAGTTAGAAGATTTAGCTTAAATAAATACAGGAAGACCTCAGTTATGAATTATTTTGATGTGCAGCTAATGCAATCATCTTAAATTAACAGCTTTCTTTAGTAAAAAGAAGATCCCTCTTTTCTGTTTATTGATACTCATTTCTCTTTACTGATATTCATTGGGATGGAAAAAGAGATGGAAGGAAGAAATCTGGTCTGTAGTGAACCTGGAATACCCAAAAGTCCTAGCTTGATAAGCAAAATACAGGAGCACTTTTCTATGATGATTATGAGATCCTCTCCTTTGATGGTAATTTGTTTGTTTCCTAAATTATTCTTTTTTTCCCCCTCTACTCATGAACATAAATCTATTCTGTGGGATATGAGGCTGCAAAATATGGAATCAGGAACCTGACAAAAGAAATAGAACAATTTAGCTATTACAATCACTGTTAAGCAACCCCACTGCTTCTAGTGGTAATATGAGTAATGGGGTCATACTCTCCTCTATAAAATGTGCATCATCAACACATAATGATGTGCAGCATTTCAACAGGTACTCATGTTAGACTGTTCTTACATATTGGAGATTCAAAATATGAGATTACTGGAAAAGGGAAAAAAATTACAGATTGAAGTATCTGTGTAATCTTAAGAATTACAGACATTTACGTGGCTATTTAGACACAGTTATCACGGCTCCTACAATGATTTAGAGATACATACAAGGTAACTGGCACATTAACATATGTGGAATTAGGGGAAAAAAAAGAAGAAAATAAGAAAACTAAACCAAGTTCATCTTCAAACATCCATACTGAAAATTCTACTTGTCTAAATTAATTCGTTCATGTAGGAGTTCTCAGCTATATTTTCTACTTTCACTCATTTCTCATAAGAGTAAGCAAACAATCAATATAGGAAAGTCACCAAAGTCTGACTTCCACCCCAACTCCCTCCCATTGAAATCTTGTCACAACGATAGGTGAGAATGTCAAACAGTGGTGAGAAGTGTGATGTGAAAAAAAGAAACAAAGAGACTGCAGCTACTCAGCCATTACCAGTAATGAACTATCGAAAGTTCTCAACCTTAGCTACATATTAGAATAACTCAGGGTGGGGAGGAGTTCCGAAAATTTTTTGATGACTGAGTCCACCTAGAGATTCTGACTTGATTGGCCTGGGGTGCAAAGCTGGGTACATGGAATTTTGCTTCCAGACCTTAGGTGATAAAACTAAATCTCTGTATTTCACAATGTTCTTTAGGAAAATTAAATAGAGTAAACAACTCTATTCATGCCGTGTGCTTCTCCGCAGTTATCAATTTGATGATTTTATTCTGTAAAGTTGTTTCGAAGAAACACTCATAGGGTTTTTTATATTTAGTCATACTATTTCTGAAATATGTCTTAAATTTTTGATTTGTATATCTAGAAGATAAAATTTCTATATCTAGAAGAGCTTTCTCTATTTGCTCTACTCTATTTGAATCAATAAGATGTCATCTTAATTTTGTAGTTTAATAAAAACCTCTCTTTAAATATGCTGGCATTTTGATGCTGCAGTCATATGATTTAAGAATTTGGTTTGGTTAAGAATTATTTTTTTGAAATAAAATACTCGAGTCAACGTATGCTCTGATATTCTAGCAGTATGTAGTTTTATTGTCTAAAAGGTTAAACTTTATTCCTGTAAGTTCATGACACTAAATAAAAAAGTAAAATATGTTTAATCTGATTTAGAATCAGAAGGCCCAATTTGCTCATTATGACAGATAACTGGTCAATGAACATGCAGAGGCAGCTCACTGCTGCCCTATAGTCCTAAATGCAAATAGAATGCAAGGAAGTGCCTTGCTCTACATCTACTTTTACATATAATAAGAGTATACCTGTCAAAATGTTTTACACATTGCACACATTTCCTTAATGCTGAAATTTGTTTATACCTGAGAATCTCAAACTATCTTGAAAGGCAGAAAAAGGGAGACTCTTTTTAACAGATTTAAATTGAGTAGTAAAACTACCAGTGCACCACACGGTGGAGTCAAACATCCACAAATCTATGTGGCCAATATGTGACAGGAAATCTGAGCACAGATTTAAGATGGCCAAATAAGGTAATGCCATTCACTTTGTCGTGCTTCTCGGTGATGTATTAAAACAAGTACTCAATTTCTGAAAAGGGAAAGCTAAGCCCATTAATTTTTTAATTAGCAATGAACTCTTCTGCAAATTTACAGAAACACATTGGGTATAAATTTTCATTTATACATAGGCTTATATTTACCCCCCTTATATATACTTAGAAAAACGTCCTTTGATGGTATTCTTAGTAGGTTCTTTGTCTGACACACTGTGCTTAAGTGCTTACTTCACAGACAACCTCTTTATCCTCTACTTGTTTCTTCCAAAGGAGATTCAAATTGAGCTTCAGGAAAGCCAGTCCTTGAAGTAAATCTGAGTACTTGATAACTCTGTTCTAGAAAACAATTCACTTTGCTGTCATCTTAAAATAAAATCTTGGAGAGGAATGTTTCAAGAGCTTTTGGGTGGCTTGCATTTTCCAATATTATATATTACCATTTGGGGAATTCAAAGTCAAGAATCATCTTGAAAATGCAGGTGCAACCAGAAATGCAGGGAAAATGGATTTGAGCTTGTTAGTACTCTAAAATCTCTTTTTTCAAGTAGATTTGAAATTTCTTAATCTACTTGTGTGCTGTTATCTGCAAGTATTTTGAACTGCTATTAATAATATTTTTAATATAGTTTTTATTTGAGATACCAAACAAAAATCTTTATATAATGTTATTAAAAACTAGTATGTTATATTCATGTTTATGGAATCATGTATTTATATCTAAATAAAAAAACACTCAGGGTCAACAACCTTTTAAACTAAACAATATTTTTTTTCTCTAAAAGTTCCCATTTGTTCCCTAAGACAATAAGAGCTTCTGCCAATCTCAAATTTGCTACTCATAATTTCATTCTACCAGCTTGAAAAAGTAACTCTATATATTTTACAGTACAAATAACTGAGTTTAATATTTCTACTGTTCAAATTTTTCCTTAATTACATTCAGCAAGTTATGAGCAGTCTTTAATCAAACATTCCTCCAAATTCATGTCACTAAATTTTGAAAAATAAGCGGTTCTACTCTGCCTTTAGTTTATAATCATGTCGTTCTCAATTCAGTAAAAATTTCCCATTCCTACCATGCATTTTTCTAAAGCCTACCTATAAAACTTTGTATGTGACTCAAATCCAAACAGTCTTCAAAATAGACAATGCTAGAGAACTTGACTACACTATGTTAGTTTGAAGAAATGTGTATACCGGGGAGGTTACATACTGCCCTGGTGAAAAGACTATCATGAGGATTTTATCATCAAAAACTTCCCCAAACTTCACTTTCTTTACCTCCTATGACAATGGTCAATGAGGAATCCCATCACTCTAGACTTCTGCAGCCTATCAAAGCTACCTGTACTCTGCCCTATATTCTCAAGGACGTTCTTGGTCAAACTTAGACAATATGGAAAACTAACCCATGCTATTGTGTACACTGATGCTTTGGGCACCAATTTAACTGTGATTCACTGCACTGTAAAGGCACAATAACCATAACTTAATAAATCCAGTATTTTACCCCCAAATTTATTTTGAAGTGAAAACATTCAGGTATCTCCACCAATTAGTGGGGAGAGGGCCTCGGGGATGGACAGATAAGCTTCTAATGCTCCTCACATTATAATGTATCGGTCTGAGTTATCCTTGGGTATTGGGTTCATACTATGTACATAAGATGTGAAAAGTAGCTATAGTTACTGTAGATATAGTAGCTATCTGATAGTATCTTACTATCAGAAAATCCTGAAGACATTTAAATACATAATTCTTATGATATTTTACATACATGTAAATGTTACTTAAAAATAGAAATACAGCATTACTTCCCAAGGTGAAAGTTAATTTAGATATAGACTAAATTTACTTGGTATAAAGCTGACTTAGATTTATTTTCATTCCTATTTTAACTCTCATTCTAGAAAAATTAGTTTAACACATTTCATAATTCAGATTGAATAGTGTTGAATGTATAGGTATGTGAGTAAATATGAGTATAGACATACTAGTATTAGTAATAAAATGCAAATTTATATCTCTAATTCCTTGTTATTAACTACTTGCAACACATTAAATGTAGAATATAGGTCATATGAATTCTAATTCCAAAATAAAGATGAGTTGATAATAAAATATTTGATGCTGCATTTTTAATACTACCACCAAAAGTATTTTCTTTAAAATTGACATTCCTACGGTTTCCCTCTAGCTCAAGTGTAGTTTGAAAATATTGATAAACAGCAGACTTCAGTGTGATACTGCCCTGGTCTTTTAAGTGTCTCTATTTCAAATTCCTCCATTATGTACGTTCAAAAATAAATCTTAGAGTACTAATATAGAGATCCTTTTTCCCCTGACCTCCAAATAGTCCAATCAGTTGATCAAATAACCCTTGGTACAACTAGATGAATAAATTTTAAGTTAGAAAGTTACTAATGCCTTGTTCAGATAATAAAAACAAAAGAAAAGAAGCTCATTCCAGGTTCTACTTGCCTGGGCTTCCTGAGGCATTTGAGCTGCGTCCACTTTGTCAGCAATATAAGCTGCCAACTGCTTGTCAATGGATGAGAGGGACTCCTGAATTAAGTGTAAGGATTTTTCAGTCTCCTGGGCAGACTGGATACTCTGTTCAAGCAACTTTTGCCTCCTTACGGCCTAAACAAAGAAGAAACAGGAATGAATCAGTTCAATATTTACTGGTGATAGTTTTTCCGCAATCCTTCTGCAAAGCAAATGAAGATTCTAGATTCTACCCCCATCACCTTTTTATAAGATAGATTTCGCAGCTTCCTGCCACTCATTCAGCTCTACTTATAAAAATGAAAATCAGAATAAGAAAAAAGAGTTAGCACACAGAACTGCAGGATCAGGAATCTCTGCAGGACAAAAGCACAGTATTATGTACATCAAGGAAAGAGGCTGGGAAAAACATTAGTGAAATCATCTCCGTCATTGCAATCTGTTGTTCTCAGACGGAATGTTCCTCCTGATCTCATTATATAGTTCAAGAGATTTGGTTTACTTAGAATAGGGTCATCGTCATCACAATCCAATTCAAGATAGATAATCCACTTCTACCAGTGAGACACATATACAATCTGTTCAGAATCAGCTCCTTTTCAAAAACAGAATTTTAGATAACCATTTGGTTAAGGATTTATTTTAAATTCTATTTCAACCAGTTATGCATGGTCTTTTTTTTGCCTCTACTTTCTTTCACAATTTGGATTATGGAAATTGCTTGTGCAATTGGATTTGTGTTACTGCTGAAGTAGAACAAATAATAAGTAACCCTAATATAGCTGCAATTAATCTTGATTGTTACTATAAGCATGATTAGGATAATTTAACACTTTTTAAGTATAAATAGCATGCTGAACAGACTGCAGAGTCTCCCTTGAAGGATCTGTTCACCTTTAAGAGTAGTTATAAAAGGAATGGGACAGACAACTTATTGAGAATTCCTTAAGCTATGCATCATAATCAAGGAATTTTCCTCATTATACAATGTGTAGGCATGATTATCTGGTACAAAAGAACTATCCTTCCCACAGACCATGATTAGGGTTTTGAAAAGAACCCTGCTTTTTATATTATATAAAGACTATTAGATATTATATGAAGAACATAAATGTTGGCTCTTAAGTTTAAAATATAGTGGAGATGTCAATGTCCTTTAATGAAGCCAACTTGGAAAACAGTGTTACTCAAGTGAGAACAAGGCTAAAAGCATCTGGACCAAAGGAAAAGGAGCTGGAAGACCTACGATGCTGCAGGAGCAAGGAAGGTATTCTCAGTATTTCCACCTACACCATAAACCTTCAGGATTCTGTCCTAGGCTTTTCTTTCTTCTCATTCTATCCATACCCTTAGCTACAATTAAACTTCATATGCTCACAGCTCTCAACTCTGCATCTCCAGTCCAGACTTCCCCCCTTGATCTCTACATTTGCATATATACTGTCGTAGGTGACAATTCCATTTGGGTGTCCCACAGCCATCAAAACAACAACAGAGGGCTTCCCTGGTGGCGCAGTGGTGGAGAGTCCGCCTGCCGATGCAGGGGACGCGGG